TTGGGGGGGCACACATGTATGTTAGAGCGTGCAGAGCCGTGTCAGAACACACACACATATGTCGGGGGGGCACACATGTATGTTGGGGGGCACACTTGTATGTTGAGGCATGTAGAGCCATGGCAGGACACACACGCATGTCATGGGGGACACAGATGCATGTTGGGGGGGCACACATGTATGTTAGAGCGTGCAGAGCCGTGTCAGGACACATGTTCCCCCCCAACCCCCCCCAGTGCTCTCCCAGTGCCTCCCAGTATCCCAAACACCAACTGTTCCCTGCTCCCCGCTGTCTTCCAGTGCCTCCCAGTGCCTCCCAGTGCCCAAAACACCAACTGCCCCCCGCTCCCCAGTGCCTCCCAGTGCCCCCCAGTGCTTCCCAGTGCCTCCCAGTGCCTGAATCACCAACTGGCCCCACTCCCCGCTGTCTCCCAGTGCCTCCCAGTGCCTCCCAGTACCCGAGAACACCCCACAGCACCAACTGGCTCTGCTCCCTGCTGTCTCCCAGTGCATCCCAGTGCCTCCCAGTACCTCCCAGTGCCCAAAACACCAACTGCCCCCCGCTCCCCAGTGCTTCCCAGTGCCTCCCAGTGCCCAAAACACCAACTGCCCCCCTGCTCCCCGCTGTCTCCCAGTGCCTCCCAGTACCCGAACACCAACTGGCCACACTCCCCACTGTCTCCCAGTGCCTCCCAGTGCCCAAAACACCAACTGGCCCCGCTCCCCAGTGGCTCCCAGTACATCCCAGTGCATCCCAGTGCCTCCCAGTGCCTCCCAGTGCCCAAAACACCAACCGCCCCCCGCTCCCCAGTGCCTCCCAGTGCATCCCAGTGCCCGAAACACCAACTGCCCCTTCTCCCCAGTGCCTCCCAGTGCCTCCCAGCACCCGACAACACCAACTGCCCCCGCTCCCCAGTGCCTCCCAGTGCCTTCCAGTGCCCGAATCACCAACTGGCCCCACTCCCCGCTGTCTCCCAGTGCCTCCCAGTACCCGATAACACCCCACAGCACCAACTCCCCCTGC